GCAGATCAGCTACAACTGGCGCCGGCGGTGTATCGTCAACCGGGTCACCGCCGGCAATCTCGTAGAGCTCCTTGCTCAGGTAAGAGTGCTCAGAATCGAAGCAGGGAACCTCGCATATGATTTTTTTAAATCTCAATTTTTGCATTTTTTGATGTCAACATGAGGTTGGTTCGGCGAAGTGAACCGATAGTGAAACTGCATCTACATATCTGAGCTGCTCTCAGAATGAAGCTTATATGTTATTGCTCAGTGTAAAAGTCTGCTATCTCCAAATGATTTGTGAAGTTTCTTTGAAATCTTAAGAAAACCGAGCCCAAAACATCACATTGTCCATCCGAGCCGGGTCGACCAACTAGCTCCACCCTGCACCGGAATTCCTCTTAGCTCATCTCGCCGAAGAGCTCTACAAGGTACTGGCGCCGGCGGTGAACCGTCAACCTGGTCACCGCCGGGAAACTCGTAGATCTTCTTGCGCGCGTAAGAGTGCTCAGAGTCGAAGCAGAGAACTTCGCAAAAGTTTTTCGTGAAATCTTGAATGTTGCGTTTTTCGTGTCGACATGAAGTTGGTTCGCCAAACGTTTTCCTACGCAGCTCATATTGAGACGCAGAGGTTCGCATAGTCTTTCACAGGTGCGAAAAATCTGGTTTCTCAAAAAGAATTGTCAAATATCTTTCAAAACTTAGCAAAACCGATCCAAAGTCATCACTTGGTAGCGTGCGAAACCCGGATAGCAAAGAGGCACTCACACAAACACAGCACACGCACGCTGTGTGGAGACGCTCAAAACCTCGCGTGACGGAGCTCTGGAGGTGCTGGAAAGCTTCCCTGCGAAGCTCTGAATACTCTGGAAAGCTTTCCTGACGAGCTCTGGGGGGCTCTCCTGAAGCGCTTCTGAAGCGCTGCCAGCGACGCTTCCACGCGTGCCTGCGCGCGTGCAGGCACGCGCGGGCGCGCGCCGGAAGCGCTCCAGGACACGCTGCGAAGTTTTACAAGCTCCTCCGGGGATCGTAGAGCGGCGAAGATGGGCTGCTGGCAGGCACCACCACCATCCGGCTTCTAATCTAAAATCCTATAGCTCTCAGAGAGCTCTCCGGGAACATTGTCCTTTCTGGTCGGGTCGACCAACTAGCTCCATCCTGCGCTGGAATTCCTCTAGCTCATCGATAACGAGGAGCTCTACGAGGTACTGGGATCCGGCGGTAAACCGTCAACCAGGTTACCGCTGGAAGCCTCGTAGAGCTCTTCTCTCGCGCGGCGCTGCTCGGAACATATCGAAGAAGCTTTCTCCAGAATGGGATCAGAAACTCGAGAAAATACGTTTTTCGGTTTGTTCCCAAAGGCGGTTCCTCCAACTGTTTTGATGGTAATATTGCAGCTACGCGCCTGAGAACTGCACTGGCAGACGCGGCGCAACCCACTACAGGTGCGAAAAGTCTTGTTTCTGAAAATGAATTCTCCAATATCTTTCAAATCTTAGGAAAAACCGACCCGAGGTCACCACATCTTCTTTTCTGGTCGGGTCGACCAACTGGCGCCGGCGGTGAACCATCAACCTGGTCTGCGATGTCTGCGTTGGCCGATTCGAGCTCCCAAGGGAGCAGGCCAGGACACAGAGGAACCTAATCAGCGGAGCTGTAGAGATATACACGGCGAAGCTGAATAGAAAATACAAGTGCACAAACAGCGAAGCAGTACAGGAATGCGCAAGTATACAATACACGAGAATGCAACTCAAAGATTGTAAGATTGAAAGCAATGCGAAGACCATGCAGTAACCACATATAGCGATTACCGTCTCAGCACCACTGAAAATAAAGCAGTGAGAGACCATGCAGTAACCGCTGGTTTATACAGCGGTTACCGTCTCAACACCACTGAGACAAACACAAAACTAACAACTAAAATGGCGAGTACACTTCAAAGCAATGCGAGACCATGCAGTAACCACATATAGCGATTGACGTCTCAGCACCACTGAAAGACCATGCACGTGAAACACAACAACGAATTTGCGGTCGACTGTGCGGGCCGTCTGGCCCAGTCGCCAGCAGGAAAACGGGCGGCATACAGAGTCAGGCAAGACACCCGCCACTTTTTGAGCGGGAGTGGGCAAATGCAAAACTCTTATTCCGAACAAAGTGAAGATCACGCGGAGCTCTTATACCAGCATGCGCGCATGCCCGACACACACGCAGCAAGGCAAGAGTCAACGCAAACACAAAGTCCGAAGTATGTCGTAACAACCCGCGGTAAGACAAGAGTCGTATGCTCACGTCAAATGTGCGATAACTGAATGTCTGATAACGCACTCAAGTATCTTGAACTCTGATCTCCACTCGAGGCGGAGACTGACTTACAAATGTGCGTAGAGATAAAAGATATCATCGTCTCTGGCAAATAAAAGTAACTCTCGGATAACTGAATGTCTGATAACGCACTCAGTATCTTGAATCACCTGCATAACTGAATGTCTGATAACGCACTCAAGTATCTTGAATTTTGATCGATGCAATTCAAAGAAAGAGTGAAAAAAGGCACGCCGATACAAGGCAGAGAACCTCGTAGAGCTCCATGCACGCGTAAGAGTAGAGCTCCAACCACATCGCAACAAGGAATGAATATGAGAGGCCAACAAAAAGAGGCAAGATGTACAGGGAGATGGGCAGTACAATCAAAGCAAGCGGCCTATGCACCTGCCCCGATAGGAGCTGTCCCACTTGGCACCAACAGAGAACCTGGCACCTATCGTCTGTAGGCCCGAGGAGAGAAGGTCGTCGCAGCCGACGAAGTACACGAATATATTGCACGGCCCGCCCGCGCGCGCACGGCCGCCCAGGGGGCAGCCTGAGGAGACAGGCTTGAGGAAGCCCCCGACGGGCCAGGCCACCGCTGAGATCCCCGAGGAGGGACAGCAGCAACCTGGTCACCGCCGGGAACCTCGTAGAGCTCCTTGCGCGCGTAAGAGTGCTCGGAATCGAAGCAGAGAACTTTGCACAAGATTTTCGTGAAATCTTTAACTGGGCGCCGGCGGGAAACCGTCAACCTTGGTTACCGCCGGGAGACTCGTAGAGCTTCCTTGCCATATACCATCTCCAAAGAATTAGCGGAGAACGAATAGTTTTTCAGCCCGAGCGCTGATATCAGACTGATTTCAGGCGTCTACATAAATTTAGCTAGCGCCCCTGATGACTCCCTTCCCGTTGCTGTGCTGAACAGCTCTGTAGCTCACCTGCAGCACAAGAGAAAACCAAGAAAACCAATACCATCTCCAAGAAATTAGCAGAGCACGAATAGTTGTTCAGCCCGAGCGCTCATAGCAGACTGAGTTCAGGCGTCTAGATACTTCCAACTAGCGCGTTTGAGGATTCTCTTCCGATTGCTGTGCCTAAGGGCTCTGAAGCTAATCTGCAGCTCGAGTTAAGTCAAGAAAACCAATTTGCTCATCATCATATGCATACTCGAGTATGACTTGTTCTTCGGATTCTGCGCTCATAACAGACCCAACATAAGCGTCTAGATGCTTCAGACTAGCGCGCCTGATGGTTTCCTTCCGATTGCTGTGCCGAAGAGCTATCAAGCTCATCTGCAGCTCCAGTTAAGTGAAGAAACTCATCATCATCTCGAAAGAATCGGTAGAATACGAATAGTTTCGCGGACCTAGCTCGAGTAGCAGCAGACCTCTAGATGCTTCAGACGAACGCGCCTGATGATTCTAAATCGATTACATGTGCGTACCAGCTCTGTAGCTCTCCTACAGCTCGAGTTAAGTACAGAAAACCGACAGCACCTGTCAAGATGACTCGAAACAACCGATCCCGCCGCGACGCTTTTTGGCAGTAGCAGGTACCCGATCGGGCTGAGATTAAGACGGCGAGCGGGAATAAGATCGAATATCACGGGAACAAATAATTAGAACTCTGACGAATTGTTGAATTTCGAGAACATAAGTTTCAACAGAGCAAAAGACACCAAAAGTTCCGTCGATATTTTTCTTGCCAAATAGCTCTCCAGCGCGCCGGAATTACTCTTAAGCTTCCAGCAACTAGCTAAGGGAAGCTCTACGAGTTATTTTGCATTGTCATGTCGACATGATGTTGGTTGCTCCAACTGTTTCGATAGTGAGAGTGCGCCTACAGAGCTCATATTAAGACGCAGAGGCCCTGATAGTCTTTCACAGGTGCGACAAATCTGGCTCCTCAAAATTAATTGTCAAATATCTTTTAAATCTAAGAATCCGCCTGTATGGGGGGACATGCCCGACCGAAAGCTCAATCCCAGCGACGTACACTTGGACCAACCACTTAACCAACAGCGCACTTGCGCGCGCGGCCGACGCGGCGACGCCACTGGACACCATGGAAAACAACTCGACACCAAGGCCCACACCCCGGCGACACAACGGCGACACCAGCGACGCGCGGGTGCCAGCAACGGACAGTAAAAAATCCTTCTTCGTCCCTCCTCTGTCTTCCCTTTTGCATCCTTCAGTTTTCTTGCCGCGGTGTCTGCAAAGCCAGGTGCCGCCGGCAAGTGATGTGCATAGCCTCGCGTATTGCGATATGTAGGGGAGGGAGGGTGAGTGGGTGCCCTCCCATCACGACAGTCAGGCCTGGAGAGTCTGTTCGTCGCGAGCTTGCCTGAGCTCTGTCGTGAGCCGACAGTCAACGCCCCGCGCCTGTGAGACTCCCAGGGTTCCAGGGTGAATTCCGCCTCGGCCAGAAGCACAATTCTCCTTCCCATCCTCATCCTCATCCTCATCTTCCATGCTCATCCGCCTCCTTCCCCCACCAGGCGGCCGTTCCCGAGGATTGGGGGACGGCCTCGTCTGTCCACGCGCGTCCTGCTTCCGGCAGTTCCTGGAGAGTCCTGTCTCGGGTGTTGTTGGAAGCGCCCTTGGCCTGCCTAGAGGGCCCCAGGGGGCTCCAAAATGGGGCGAAAATAGCTGGGGGCACCTCAGGTCAGGGGCACTTCTGGCAACACCGGGCCCGTGGCCCCCTGGCTCGAGCCGTGTTGGCCTCCATCCCCGCAGCCCGCGCGCGCGCTCTCCTCAGAAGCCTCACCTCGCCCGCTTCCCAGAGCCCCGCGGCGCCCTCCGGACCCCATGGCGCTCGCCTATGTGGAGTCCCGCCTCGCGCCCCTCGGCAGCGCCTCCTTCCACGTCGCGGGCCTGCAGCCCCGCGCCCTGAAGCGCAGCCACAGCTACTCGGGGCGACCCGGGGAGGGAGGGAGGGAGGGAGGGAGGGAGGGAGGGAGGGAGGGAGGAGGAGGAGGAGGAGGAGGAGGAGGAGGGAGGAGAGGAGGAGGAGGAGGAGGAGGAGGAGGAGGAGGAGGAGAGGAGGAGGAGGGGGGAGCCGGTGCAAGTCGGGCCGCGGTGGCCGAGGCCCGCCGCGGCTCCGCGCTCCTGGCTGGCGTGCCAGGTGGCGCGCTGCTTGCCTCCGGGGTGCCGTGGGCTTCCTGGGTGTCGCTGGCCGTGCCGTGGAAGGCGTGAAACTCCTAGTAGGAAGGCACCAACTATACACCAACACCGATCCTGGCCAGGATAACCCTGGGCCCAGGATCGGTGTATACGCCCTCCTGCCTTGCGCAAGAAGGCAGATATACACCGATCCTGGGCCCAGGGTGATCCTGGGCCAGGATCGGTGTTGGTGTATAGTTGGTGCCCTCCGACCCAGCCCAGAAGCCGATGGGCGTCCGGGGGTCTCAGGGCTGGGTTTCCTGCGGAAGGCTTCTGGTGGTCGAGCTCCTACATGCTGTCATCATGCACCCTGGGAGGTCCGCGCGAATCTCTTGGTTCGGCGCCGGACGCTGGGCGGCGCCCCTGGCGCAGCCAGGGGGATCCACGGCCGATCCAAGAGATCTGCGCGGATCCCCGCGCGCGCGAGCCGCGGAATCCTCCCATAACAGCTGCCGCCACCCCTCCCTCGTTCGCTGTCGCGGCTGGGTCCGCCTCCCAGGCCCCGCCCATGGCGCGCACCCTGGGAGAGGGCACGGGGCGCGGCGGTCGTGCCAGTACCTTTGCCAGACGTCCGGCGGCGTGTTTTTTCTGGGGGGGGGGTTCTTCACAGTGTGGCTCCGAAAGGTCTTGACCCCTTCCCTGGGACCGGCCTCTTAGCCCGAGTCGTGTTTTGACAGTCCCTGGGCCAGGCGAGGGTCCCCAGAGGCCGAAGAGCGTCCGAAGAACCCTCCCGCCGTGGTCTTCTCTTCACCACGAGAGGCTGTCAGGGTTCTTGTTCCCCCCATTCTGGGCCTCCTGAATGGGGTCTGAGTAGATGGGGTCGGAGGATCGCGCCGCATCGTCGATGCGTCGCCGGTGCAGCTCGATGTGGAGCCCGTGGTGCTTCACGTCGACGTGGTGCATCGCCGATGCATCGCCGATGGGATCGCCGATGCGGCGCGATCCCTCGACCCCATCTGCTAGGATCTTATTTGGGAGGTCTAGAGGGCGGCGCGCACAAGGGGGTGGCGCGAGGGGAGTGGCCTTCGTGGCCTTCCAAGAAGGCGGCGCGCTTCTTCGAAGGCAAGGGCCTCCTCGGAAGGGCCTGGAGAGGCTTTCAGGAAGGCTCCTCGGAAGCTGGGAGGCCACCTGCAAGAAGAGGCCCTTGCCCTCGTAGAAGCTCCCCCGCCTTCTGTGAAGGCCGCCCCCTTCGAGCCACAGTGGAGACACCCATGCCAAGAAACGCCCTGCTTGCCTCCAGGGTCCCTTTCTCGGGTTTCGATGGCTTCGCCATGGAAGAGCGCGACGTGCCCCACAACCACACATCATCGATGGGCGCTCTGGGGTCTCAGTGGTTGGGTTTCTTGTGGAGGGTCTCTTGTGGACTGGCCGCCGCTGTGCCGCCTCGCGCGCGCCGCCAATCTGTCCAGGTATGCGAGGCGGGGATTTATCCATATCCACCGCCTGGGAACCGACGTCTGGGTGCCCCAGCGGGCGGTGGCTATGGATACCTCTCGGCCCCTGGGGGCCCGAGTGTGTCCAGATCCACCGCCTGCCGAGGCTCAGAAAACTGACCCTCCAGGCGGTGGTCATGTATGAATTCCGAGGACGCGGACGAGGAGGAGGGGGAGGGAGAAGAGAGAGAGGAGGAGGAGGAGGAGGAGGGAGGAGGAGGAGGAGAGGAGGAGGAGGAGGAGGGAGAGGAGGGAGGAGGAGGAGGAGGAGGAGGGTCAAGTATAAACTCCCGCCTCGGAAGGTACGCGCCCCACCGCCTCAGGCTGTCGCTCGACGACCTCGGGGGGGCGCGCGGTGGCGTCGCCAGCGCCCCCCTGCCCCGCGCGGCGGCCCGTGCCGCGCCCGCCGCCGAGGCCGGCGCCACGGCCTCCGGCCCGGGGGCTGGCGCCTCGGAGGCCCCGAGCAGCCCGAGGAAGTTCTCCTCGGAGGCGACCGCGCCCTCCTCCTCCTCCTCCTCCTCCTCCTCCTCCTCCTCCTCCTCCTCCTCCTCTCTCCTCCTCCTTTTTTTCTTTTCCCTATCCTCCTCCTATCCTCCTCCTTTTCCTCCTCCTGCTCCTCCTCCTCCTCCTCCTGCTCCTCCTATCCTCCTCCTCCGCCTCCTCCTCCTCCTCCTCCTCCTCCCCCTCCTCCCTCCCTCCTCCGCCTCCTCCTCCTCCTCCTCCTCCTCCGGTGCAGCCGCCGCCGGACGTGGGACCCTCTGTCTCCCGTCCTCGTGGTCGTGCTCGTGCCGCCGCTCCCCCCTCCTCCCCCGAGCCTGCGCCAGAAGAGCCGCCGCCGACGGCCCTTTCTTCCCTTTTCCCTCCTCGTCCTCTATCTCCTCGCCTCTGGGGCATCCCCCCCTGCTCAGCTGGCGTGCCCGGGCTCTGCGCTTCACCCCCCCCCCCTCCGCCCCTCCCCCTGGGTTTTGGCCGGGGCGGCGTGGCCGGACAGGGTGGTGGTGCGGGCACGCTGGAGCTCAGGCCTCGAGGGCGAGGCGCAGCCGCAGCACCTCGTGGAGCCGTGTGGTGGCGCAGGGACGCGCAGGGACCTTGCTCGAGCTTGCAGAGGCCTTCCCCCGGGCCGCCGAGGAGGCCCGCCGTTCTGGCGGCCCAGCGGGGCCCTACAGGCAGGGCTTCGGGATCCTCGGGGTCTGCTGGGGGGGCCCAGTCCTAGCAGGGTAGGTAGGGACACAGCGCCCCCAGCTCCTGCTGCTTCTCCTCCTCCTCCTCCTCCTGCTCCTGCTCCTGCTCCTGCTCCTCCCCTCCTGGCCCTGATCCTCACCGCTCCCCCTTCCTCTTCGGAGGCGACCACGCGGGCGGATAGCCTCGTCGGTGAGGAGAGCTCGCCGGAGTTGTGGCCCGACACGGACGTCGGGCGTTTCGTAATTCGGAGAGGGGAAACGGCATAAACATAAGACTTTCTGCGCTCCGCGCGGATTTCCTGGATCGGCGCCTGGGCCCCCCTGGAGGCGCCTCTGGCGCCGCCCCTGGCGCGCCCCGCGCGCCAGGGAAAGGGGGTCCAGCGCGGATCTAAGAGGTCCGCGCGGACATCCACACGTTTATCGTTCTACAGTTTTCTTTGGTCTTCCAAGACATGGGCGGTGGTACATCGAAGACGCCTACGGCGAATCACCGCCGCCCCCTGCCCTTTTGGAAGTGCCTGTGTGTTGGCCAAGTTGTCGGGCCGGTTGTTCCCCGAGTCGGTGTGGAACGCCTTCGGGGAACGCGTGGAGGAGGAAGAAGAAGATGAGGAAAAAGGACGAGGATGATGAGGAGGAGGAAGAGGAAGAGAAGAGCAAGAGACCTTTTTGGAGCCTCTTGGATTATTCTTGGGGCCTCCTGGAAGCTTCCTGGGGGTCTTTTGGAGGCCTCTTGGGGGCTTCCTTTGGGCTCTTGGGGGCCTTTGGGGGCTTCTTGGGGCCTCGTTGACCGTCTTGAGGTGTTTCTGGCCCGTCTGACGCCGTCGGAGGCCGTCTTGGGAGCCTCTTTGGAGTGTCTTGGGGCCGTCTTGGGGCGTTTCTGGGCTGCCTTGGAGGCCATCTTGGGCGTCTTGGCGGCCTCTTGGGCCGTCTTGGAACCCTCGGGGCCGTCGGAGGCCATCTTGGAGGCCATCTTGGAGGCCTCTTGGGCGCTCTGGGGGCGATCTTGGGGGCCTCTTGGACAGTCTTGGGCCGTCGGCAGGCCGAAAAGGAGCAACAAAACCCGAAGGAACATCAACGATTTTAGCCTCTTCGGGCCCTCCTGGAGGACCTCTCGGAGACTTTTTGAGCCGTACCTCTGGGCCGTCTTGGACCGTCTTGGAGGCTTCTTGGGCGGACTTGGAAGTATCCTGGACCCTCTCGGGCCGTCTTGGAGGCCATCTTGGACCATCTTGGGCGAACTGAGCGACCATCTCGGGCCATCTAAGGCGTCTTGGAGGCCATCTTGGGCCATCTTCGAGCGGGAAAGGCATTGACAGGTAGATTTTTGGCGGCTTTCCAGGTGGCCGGCGGGACGGGCCGAAACCCACTGGGAGAGTTCTTTTGGAAAAAGAGCCAAAACCAAAACCGGTAGAAGTCTAGCACGCCGGGCACCCCTGTGGCAAGACCACACGCGGGCGGCGGATCGAAGACGCCTACGGCGAACCACCGCTGCCCCCTGCTTTTTTGGAAGCGCCTATTGGCCCTCTTGGAGGCCTCTTGGGCGATCTTTCGGCGATCTTTGGGGGCTCTTGGGCCGTTTCGGGCCGTCGGAAGGCCAACAAAAAAGGAAATGTCAAAATCCGTCCAAAACCTCAGGAAAACCAATGTTTTTGGCCTCTTCTGGCGTTCCTGGAGGCCCTCTTGGGGGCCTCTTGGGCCGTCTTGGGCCAGCTTCGAGCCAACTTCGGCCATCTTGGTGGGTTCCTGGCACGACTGACGCCGTCGGGAGCCGTCTTGGGGGCCTTTCTGGGCCAACGGGTGACCCTCTTGGGGCGCTTCGGGGCCGTCTTGGAGGCCATCTTGGGCGTCTTGGAGGCCATCTTGGGCGTGTTGGAGGCCTCTTGGGCCGTCTTGGGGCCCTCTTGGGGCCATCTTGGAGGCCACTTGGGCCGTCATGGGGCCCTCTTGGGGGCCTCTTGAGCGATCTTGGGGGCCTCTTGGGCCGTCTTGAGCCGCCAGAATGCCGAGAAGAAGCAAATTCCAAAATCCTTCAACAACCTAAGGAAAATCAATGATTTTGGCCGCTTCGGGCCCTCCTGGAGGACCTCTTGGAGGCCTCTTGGGTTGTCTGGGAGGCCTCTGGGGGGCCGTCTTGGGCCGTCTTGGACTCTCTTGGGTCGTCTTGGAGGCCGTCTTGGACCATCTTGGGCGGACTTGGAGGCCATCTTGGGCCATCTTCGCGACTTTTTGAGGATGTCCCGAGCGAAACGGCCGTTTCAGGGAGGAGTTTTCGTGGAGTTTGCGCTCCTGGGCAATCCTCCCGGGACCCCGGCGGGACGGGCCGAAACCCACTGGGAGAGTTCTTTTGGAAAAGAACCAAAACCAAAACCGAGAGGATCTGGCACGCCAGGCACCCCTGCGATGAATCGACAGGGGGCGGCGGATCGAAGACGCCTACGGCGAACCACCGCCGCCCCCTGCCTTTTTGGAAGCGCCTATGTGGCCGAACGTTCAGACCAGACCTGCCAAGCCATCGGACCATGTGTTCCCCGAATCGGTTTGGAAAGCCTTCGGGGAACACGTGGGCATCTTGAAGGTCATCTCGGCCGTCTTGGTTGGAAAAAGAACCAAAACCAAAACCGAAATCATCCAGCACGCCAGGCACCCCTGCGATGAATCGACAGGGGGCGGCGGATCGAAGACGCCTACGGCGAACCACCGCCGCCCCCTGCCTTTTTGGAAGCGCCCATGTGGCCGAACGTTGAGGCCAGACCTGCCAAGCCATCGGACCATGTGTTCCCCGAATCGGTTTGGAAAGCTTTCGGGGAACACGTGGGCATCTTGAAGGTCATCTCGGCCGTCTTGGAGGCCTCTTGGGCGATCTTTCGGCGATCTTTGGGGGCTCTTGGGCCGTTTCGGGCCTTCGGAAGGCCAAAAAGAAGGAAATGTCAAAATCCGTCAAACACCTCGAAACAAACACTGTTTTTGGCGTCTTCTGGCGTTCCTGGAGGCCCTCTTGGGGGCCTTTTGGGCCGTCTTGGGCCAGCTTCGAGCCAACTTCGGCCATCTTGGTGGGTTCCTGGCACGTCTGACGCCGTCGGGAGCCGTCTTGGGGGCCTTTCTGGGCCAACGGGGGACCCTCTTGGGGCGCTTCGGGGCCGTCTTGGAGGCCATCTTGGGCGTCTTGGAGGCCATCTTGGGCGTGTTGGAGGCCTCTTGGGCCGTCTTGGGGCCCTCTTGGGGCCATCTTGGAGGCCACTTGGGCCGTCATGGGGTCCTCTTGGGGGCCTCTTGGGCGATCTTGGGGGCCTCTTGGGCCGTCTTGAGCCGCTGGAATGCTGAGAAGAAGCAAATTCCAAAATCCTTCAACAACCTAAGGAAAATCAATGATTTTGGCCGCTTCGGGCCCTCCTGGAGGACCTCTTAGAGGCCTCTTGGGCCGTCTTGGGCCGTCTTGGAGGCTTCTTGGGCGAACTTGGAGGTATCTTGGACCCTCTTGGGCCGTCTCGGAGGCCGTCTTGGACCATCTTGGGTGGACTTGGAGGCCATCTTGGACAATCGTGGAGGCCATCTTGGGCCAACGTGACCATCCTGGAGGCCATGTTGGGCCGTCTTGGAGGAAGACTTGGGATTGGGCGATGGCGTGTGCGTCTTGCGGGTCTTGGGGGGCGGCCGGCGGGACGGGCCGAAACCCACTGGGAGAGTTCTTTTGGAAAAAAAACCAAAACCAAAACCGAAATCATCCAGCACGCCAGGCACCCCTGCGATGAATCGACAGGGGGCGGCGGATCTAGTGGCCTCCGGCCCATCCCGCCACCGTGCCTGGGTTGTGGGTTAGAGGCCTCTTGGATGTTCGTTGGGACATCGTGGGAGGCCTTTCTAGGGTCTCTTGGAGGCAGTTCTGAGGCCTCCTGAGGGCCGTCTGGGGGCCTCTTGGGGCCTCTTTTGGGCCTCTTGGTGGCCTGGGGCCTCTTGGGGGCCTCTTGGGCGCCTCTTGGGGCCTGCTGGAGGCCTCTTGGGGCCTTGGGGCGGATGATTCGCATCGTCGGTTATTGCTCCCCCTCGTGGGGCCTCTTTTGGGGCAGTCTTGGGGTTCTGAGGCCAATTAGCAAAGCGGCGCTCTGCTAATCAGAAGAGGAGCAGTGCTGGCGCACATATTCTTACGCCAATTAGCGAGGCGGCGCTCTGCTGATCAGAGCCCGTCAGCACGAGGAACCCTGCTTTGGGGTCAATTTGCAGAGCAGCGCTCTGCCAATGAGGGGAGGAACAGCGAGTGCGTTTGCCGTGAGGTAAATCAGCAGAGCGCCGCTCTGCTAATTGGAGCCCGAAGAGTCCGAGAATGTGGAGGCCCAGCCCCTAGAATATTAGAGTACACGCAGGTCGTTGAAAGTAGGTATTTTTGATTTCCCAGATCCCAATTTTATTTCAAGCGCCTTCCTACTTCAAGAATCGGTATGCTCTTGCTGTGTTTTTGTTGTTCTCTTCTACATACTTCTGCCGACAGAAGTGTACAGGACTCAGAACAGGGAACACATGAGAGCCTTGGGACACCTCCCCTCGCGCCTCGCGTCACGGTGGCGGATTGGTGGAGGGTGTTCGAGGGCTGCAGGGAGGGGGCCTGACAGGGGCCCTTGTGGCTCTCGGGGCGCGAGACCTGCACCCTTCTCTTCCTCCTCCTCGTCCTCCCCCTCCTCCTCCTGATCCTCCTCCTCCTCCTCCTCCTCCTGCTCCGCCTCCTCCTCCTGCTCCTCCTCCTCCTCCTCCTCGCCTCCTCCTCCTCTTCTCCTCCTCCTCCTCCTCCTCCTCCTCCTCTCCTCCTCCTCCTCCCCTCCTCCTCCCCCTCCCCCTCCCCCTTCCCCCTCCCCCTCCCCCTCTCCCCCCCCCACCTCCCCCTTCCCCCCCCCCGTGACGCCACGCCCCAGGACGACGACAGCGAGGAGTCCTACGAGTGGTCGCCCTGCAGCCGCCGGGGCGCCCCGGCCCCCAGCGCCGCGACCCTGCAGATCCTCGCCACGACCCCGGCCGCCAGGGCCGCGTGCCACCGGGAGGCGGGCGCGGCGGCCCCTTATGCGCCTGCGGCGCCCCCGGTCGCGCGGCCGCCGCACGGCTGCGCCGGATGGGCGGGCGCAGCTGCTGGCGTCTATACCAGCTTGCCGGGTGCTGCCAGAGGTGCCCCTGGCCCGAGGCACCCCTGGGATTCTCGGGGTGGCCCAGGCGGCCTCCAGGGCGCCCCTCGCGAGGCCCAGAGGGCCCCAGGGGTCCCCCAAAATTGAGCGGGAAGCTGGAGGTACCTTGGGCCTGGGGCACTTCTGGCAACACCCAAGCTTGAAGCATCTCCCTATCCCTGTGTTTGGTATCGCCCTGCTTTCAGTGCCGATCTCAGGGACTCCCTCGCTTTCTGAGGGCACGGCCCCAGGACTGTCATGGGCTTTCCCCGAGCTCCGACGTGCCGAGCAACAGTGCAACATCGCGAAAAATCGCGCCCTGAGCTCTCGACCCCATCTGCCTGCGCCATTCTCCGAGCCAGGTCGATCGGGGCCCGAAACCGGGTGAAGACGCTCTCTGTGATTAAGTGGCAACACCAGATCTGAGGTTTTGGCTCGTCAGTTTTCGAGAGATAGGGATGAGTTTGTGGCTGCTCAGGCGTGGCGGCGGCGCCGTGGGGGCCGGTCGGGCAGCCGCTGGCGCTGCCTCCGCCACAACAGCATACACTCCGACACCCTCGGATGGACTGTTCCTGGGCCTCAGGGGAGGGTGGCGATGTATAAATGATCACCGAGAGTCCGCGACTTTCTACGCCGCCGCCCTCCCTGAAGGTACATGTAAAACATGGCTAGGATCGAGATAAATCGCTCCAGAGCGTTCTGGAGCGCTCTCAGAGCGTTCCGGAACGCTCTGGAGCGGCCGCGGCGCCCAATACATCCTCCAAACCCGCCGATTCTCAGAGATTTCGAGTTGTCCCGATCCGATGTTGTCCCGATCTTCGCGTCGTT